ACACACGCCAAAAACTAAAAATAAAAGTACTTTCCTGATGCTGGCAAAAAAAATTGTTAGTAGGAGAACTGATACTACTTAGTAGTCAAATCGGCAACAAAACAGAATTAGCTGTTGTCAAACTTAGTTTATTGAATATTCTAGCTGACCTCGTTTAACCATGGAAATAAAATTCTTCTTAATCCTCGGGGCAAACACGCCCTCAAACTTCTCATCCTGAATGTTTTCGACATCATTTTGAAAGAACCCAACTTCCTGTATTTGAGTAAATTCAACCGAGGTAATACACAACCGGCTTCTCCATTTAGGTCTAATTATACTAGACTTGTTGTAAAGTTACTGTAAATTACTCCTTCATATCTACGGGCTTAGTTTCATTTGCTGTTGCAAATCAGTGTTAATCTAGTGAAAGGCCATCGTAAATCAACACGGCCGAGCTAACAAATCAGACAAGAGCAAACAAACAAGAAAACCACCAGGTGATGACATGCTGAACACAGGTGGGTCCTCTCAGTAAGAACAGTACCCAAACACACAATTTACAATCTGCTGAACCATAATAAATGACACTAATGTACACGGAAACTCCACGTCAAAACACAGAAACTGGTTTGTCTCCCTGCTCTCTGTTCTACTGCGTCTGCCATATATAGTTGGATATTAGCCAAGCAGGAACCGAGAACGCAGCGCCGTTTTAGCAAATGGGGCCTCTGTGCGGCCATAAAAGCACAAATTCCTTGTCCGCCAATAGCGTGCTTTTGGCTAGTCAGCTGTGTGTGAGTGTTTCAGGTCGGAGAGAATGAGTGAGAGGTTCCTTACTGCACTCACACAGAGAGAGAGAGAGAGAGAGCGAGAGAGAGAGAGACCAGATAACAGAGCCATGCAGTCATATCGTTCTTCAAGTATCAACGAACAGGTTGTTCCTCTCACTTCCTCTATTCACTTCTTGTTGTGCAAGCCATCCCCTGCAGAAGGCTGCAGCGTACTCCCTGATAATAAAGTGAAAATCATTTAGTTTTGCACTGCTGATTGGACAAAAAAAAAAAGACATTTGATGACATCATCTTAAAAAGGTATAGTGTGTAGGATGTAGTCTAAGCGGCAGATTCCATAAAAGGCGACCCGCAGCGTCTGTAGATCGGATCAACCGTTCCTATATTCAAGTGATTATACACTAATGAAATCTTACCTACCATGTTATATTCCATTCTGCATATAAGCTCTATGATGGGCGGTTTATAGTTCAATCGATAAGAAAAACAATCAGCAAATGAATCCATCATGAAAATACTCAGTTTCAGCAAAAATGCACACTGAGGTTCAGACTATCATGCTTTATTCTTCACAGGGACTCTGATAACAATCAACTGATAACAGTTCAGGTGTTTGTTTAAACTATCATTTGGGCTATGGAGGCTATATTTAAGAGTTCTTGCACTGCAGCTAGTGTTTAGACAACATTTAGAAATTTTAGGGTAAGCAAAATATCAAAGTATTGTTTTGAGATTAAAACTCATTTGTATGTCTCGTTACTATTATAGAGAACTGTCAAATGATATCCTATTGAGGACGGAGTGGGTTACAGTGACATCAAGTAACTTGGATGATCGGAAATATAACAGTCAAAATAAATACAGAAAACTATATCCAAGTTTCAAAACCATAAGGAAAAACATTACGAAGTTTTGAGGGAACACTGACACATGCTGCATGTGCATCAATGCTTACTGTGCATCACTTAGTGCAGCTTCTCCGCAGCCTTTCACTGTCAACAACATCATGTTGACCAACAGAAGGCATCAACAAATGAAGGAGAAGTTGTTTATATCACTCCGAGATACCATCTAACCCAAGTAGGAAATTGTTGACTCAGCAAATTAAAGGCTCATGTGCTGAATAAAATGGATTAGTTAACAATATTGACTTCATCGCCCTCATAATGATGCACATTCTTTCTGGCACACTCAGACAATGCGGGCTGCGGCTAACTGGCTACACAGTGCGCTGGCAGGAAAAGACCCCGTCACTGTTGAGCCTGCTGGGAGACAACACCTCGGCCGCGCAAACAAACACTGCTGAACCTCTTCCCCTCGGTGTCCTAACCTCCACCTGCACGGCAGGATAAGCTGCGTGCCTGACAGGGCTGAGCAGCACAGTTTCACAAAGACAACGGACTCGGCAGCGGCTGAGGCTTCGGATTAGGTCGTTCCTTAGCAACAGCGCAGAGCAGTAAGATTATAGAAAGTGGGATTACGGCTAATGAGGCATTTAGGGACAGGAAAGTGTTTGGAGGTGTCGTCCAGAGGATTCTCGACGGGAGTCATTAGTGTCATCGGAGCGTTGACGAAGATAATTGATGGGCGAGCTCAGTGAGGAGCAGGGAATCCCTGTGGGATGATACAGGCTTTATGAAGTGGAGGACTGCGTGGCTGTGCTGATCTTTTAGGCTGCATTATACCGAACTGTTGCAATACTGGGGCTCTCACTGACTTCTGTGAAAGTGAATATGTCAAAACATTAGTTGACTAACAATTTCAATTACTAAACAGTTACAATTATGTCTCTTTATGGTCTTTTGAGTACTTGACAGTTCTCCGTGTATGAGTGCTGTTTACATTAAGGGCTCTGTCTGGTGCCACTGATCATACAGTGGGTGCTACATGTCTCTTCATAGGGAGGGATACACGAGGAGGAACAACAATGTGGCACACCAAGAGCAAAGAGTAACCTAGCTTGTGCAATACTTTGATAAACTGGAAACCTTGAACGTAGCTCTACTCACTACCTTCACTACAAAGTATGCAGCTTCCATTCTTGCGAGGGATAAACTGTATTCTATCACGCAAACTGCGAACTGGTATCACAAGAACACTCAAATTAGCCATGTTATTCCACGATAACGCAGGAGGCATCTGGCAGCCAGACTTCAGAAAAACATCTAACGGCAGTTTTGTAGTTGGACCGAAGCTGCTGCGGTCGCGCACAGTAGAGCCGCCTTTACGGATAACTTGAGAAGTAGATGTCTCACAGGTGATGACTGTCTGAATTACTGCTAGCAGGAACACAGAGACAAAAACAGGACATGAATGTTTTCTTTTCCTTCTCGAGGTGACATTTAGCTCTTAGCTTCACCTACCTATTGAAGATGTCACCCGCGGATCTACGGCTGCTTTGATCTCTGGTCTCTCTCATGCTATGCTCAGTCTGCCAGAGACCTTTGCATTTGTCCCTTTCATCCACACCATTTCTCTGCACTTCAGTGAATTCATGTCGTGCTGCTTTATTTAAAGTGTATCTAGTATATGTGCAGCACTCGTTTTCCTTCAAAGAAAATGGAGTCAAATCAACATTTTGGCTGCGCCGAACCTCCTCGGGTTGCGGCGGATAAATTGTTTTGCAACAGTTAAAATGCAACTGGAGCGGCTGAAATAAGTGCATCCTCCAGTAATGTGTCAATGCAGCAACTCACATACAGCTATCCAAAGCAAGACCAACTCTTGTGTGCACAGTAGCATTAGTGGCCATTTTATAAAAACATTCCCACTGTGACCTTAGTGTTTATTTAGGTTTTAGCACATTAGCTGCAAATGCTGAAGCTGTCAAAAAAGAGTTTGTTTTACTAAAAAAAAAAAAAATTCTATTCAATTAATAACGGCACCAAATACAATATTTACCCCTTAGAACTAGCGCTGCACAAATAATTATATTAGGAAATCACAATGTGGCCATGTGCAATATCCAAATTGCAGAAGCTGCTATTTCATTTTTTAAAAAAAAGGTAAAATAAGTCACAAAACAGCCTTATAATGAAGTACTGTAGTGCTGCAGAGATGCCCCACCCTACAAAATCTTCCAGACCCCAACAGATGTTACAACATCGTGATGATCATTATTTAATCCTTTTTTTCTAGTAAAAATTTAAATTTGTGAAGAATTGTGATCCAAAAAGCCTCATCACTAATCGTGACTCATATCGCAGCATCTGTGAAAATAATCGCAATCTGCAATCTTTACCAAATTGTGCAGCCTTACTTAGAGCGCCATGCCTTTACACTTGATGATACAGTGACTAGTAGCATGTCAAGCTGCCACCATGCCTTTTTTGTACAGACAATTCTACTGCAAACTTCCTTTTTCAGGCGACAGCTTCGAGAGCTTGATGATTCATATCCTTTAGGGCGCTAAACCGCACGCTGCAGAGCTAAAGCACAACTCGTCTTCTTAACGTTTTACCTGTGAGACTAATCTACCTAATCTTTTTTCAAAGCATGCTGTCCTGATATGAGTGCAAAAGGACACTGGCACTGGATAGATGTTATCTCAGTATATAAAATCATGCTGTGTCCCACCAAGTTGAGGATGTAGTGCTACACATACCAAAGCTTTGAGGAAGTGTTACACAAAGAGCTCAGGGCAGACCTGGTGCAACACAGAGGAACCTAAACTCAACTGGAGTAGAGACGGGGGCGAGAATGAGACAGAAGTGCAGGCTAGAAAACTTTTAATGACTTTGTGTTAACTGATTAAGTGAAAAGCTACTGGCCCAAGTCAACAAACAAGATAATGCTTGCAGGACGTCTATCAATTTCTTATATCAGTAGAGAAGACTAAACCGATTGCAAAAAAAAAAGAAAAAATTGAGCAGAGGGAGGCGGCTGTGAGAGAAAAAGAAACAAAACATGGAGTCTATCCCAGGAAGAACTAGAACAAATAGGAAGCTTTAAAAATAGCCAATGAGAAATCCCTGCATGCAGCAGCAGGAAGCTGCGAGTGAATGGGGAAAGCCAAGGTGCCAGCTGAAAGGTCAGGACTTATCCCCCTGCTCTACAGGAGTCTCAGTGATAGGCCTCCCCGGGCAACGGCCGCAGAAGTGATGGACTCTTCACAATGGTTTCCTGCAAGGACGGCAACTATGTGATGTTAGGGGGGGGCGCCAATATGTTACACGCAAACCGACGGAGGGCTTAAAAATCAGGGGTTAAAAACTAAACTTCACATTAGCAACATTTCCCAGCACTGACGCACATTACTTCTGAGAGGATGTGCTCCTGAAAGCTGCTGTTGAGGTTGAGGCAGAGGAAGGCCATGTTCGGGCGGAGGAGGACCACACAATGTGAGATCGAAAGGCCGATCATTACTAGCTCACACTGGTCTGTGTGTGGGGGCTGGATAACGTCCCCGCGCCTATTCCCCTGTGGGACTGAACAAAAACAGAGAGGGCCACTGACATGATTTGTCATGGTAGGCCTGAAAGGACATTTTACAGCGCATAAAAGGGTTGGTTTCCACAGAAAGACTCTAACTGTACTAGGACCTGTGATTGTGAGCTGCTTTAACACGTTTGAAGCCTATTACTCTGATGTCAGGTTAACACCTAGACTGAAAACGCTACACAGTGTTCCTAATAGTTAATGTGTCCTCCTTAGGCCTACTCAAGAGCAAGCAGCCCCAACCCGGAGAAACAGAAACTGCATAATGAGACATCCGGTCTCTGCTGCAGGCACGGCTGCACATTTTCAGGTTGAGCTGAAGCAAATGAGCAGGCCGTGACAGAAATATATCATCTGAAACTTCTCCAAAGTCCAAAGAATTAATCCTCCAGGCCATTTATCAAACACAGAGAGAGAGAGAGAGA